CTCCCTCCCTCTGACTCTCACTTCGTGTGGTGTGTGTAAGGGAGTTAGTTTCCCTACTTGTTCACTTGAGCATCCTCTGCAGGGTACCATTCACATCCACTGAGCTGACTGACTCATCCCACCTCCCCTATCTCTCTTCCACATTCTCCCTTCAATCTAAGGTACTACTTCTGTATACTATACTACTTCTGTATAACTCTTGGGACCATCCTTCTTCCAGGGGAAGCCTGGTTCAGATAAGCATTCTTAGGTACTTCCCCCAGGATTGCACTCTTCCTTAGCACTGACTTGTTATTTCAGATCACTGTGTACCCCCAACCCTACCTCCCCGATGCCATGTATTTCAGAGGAGAAGACTGGAGTTGTCATCAAACAATGACACCCCTAGATCATCCACAGTAAAAACTTACATGTTCCAGAACTTGCTCCAGAACTGCCTTCCTATAGTCACATAAAGAACTCCAGTCCAGACTCCTCTCAAACCACCCTGTCTTAAAAGCCCCCTGACCTTATGACTCACAGAGTACTCTAGCAACAAGGGATGTTGCCATTGGCCCAGCTCAAGAACCTACTTAAGCTCAGGTACGCACTTGTCTTGGTTTCCACCCAAAAAAAAGTTGTGACCCTTTGACACTCATGATGCTCGCATGCCTATCTTTGTGCCTAATCCTGCATCTTTGGGATCAAAGATGCTAGCCTACAAATTGCTGGGCTCTTCCTTCCAAAAGATGGACAAAGCCAACCACTTTGGATGACGAAAGACATGCCCTAAGAGAAGCCAATTGACACAGGCTCTTTGGAGAACTATGGAGTGAAAAAATGCCAACAAGTGCATTTTGTCTCCAATTTTATAGTTTGAGAAACAGAAACCCAGAGAGTTAAGCTAAGTCTGTCGCTTGCCTTTCCATGGTTGTGACAAAATACCTGAGTAGGTCCACTGAGAAGGGAAGACTTATTAGGGTCAGTTTCCCAAGATTTAGCCCACAATTGCTTGGCCTCAACACTTTGGGCTTGTGGAGATAGTGACCCCCATGGTGGGAGTAAAGGGAACATTCAGGAAGGAAAGAGAAATAGGAGAAATTGCCAGGGTCCCATATCCCCACAGGCACTTCCCCAGGGATTCAATTTACGTCCTCTAGTCCCCACCTGCTAAAGGTCCTACCACCTTCCGGTAGCAGGCCGGCCACTAAGCCTGTAACATGTGACCCTTTGGAGGCCATTTCAAATCTAAACAAAAAGCAGATTGCTGGTAAATGAAGGATAATCTTTCTGACTGCCAAGCCCCTTTATAGCTAAGCACAGAAAAATAAAATAAAAACTTAAAAAATTGAGCAAGCCATAAGAAAATATCTGAAGGCATTCTAATTTTTGTGTTTCATGATAAACAGTGGCAGCTTTCCCCACTATTATATGAGTTTATTTAACTTAGCTCCTATAGGAACTACTAGAGATAACACTCAGTGGTTCTCTCCATGACCAAGCACATCCTATCTGCTTGATTTT